TATAATTTCATATATAGAATCACTATAAAATTTAAACGACAAATCCATAATATATAATTGGTATTGGGGTATATAATAATGTACGAGAAAATAAATAAATAAATATATATATAATAAAATAAAAAACAATTTAGCATTAAAAAAAAAATCGTTATACCCCAAAAGAATTAAGAAGAAAAATATGACGCAAAATTGGTATTAGGTTGTGGATTATCACAATTTACCATGAAAAATTTATAGAAAAGAAATATTTTTCAAATAGAGTCCATATAAAATAGTTAAATTAGGTTTGGATTTGTGTAGAACTCTACATGTAATTAACAAAATACATACTGACGTAGCTCTCTTAAAAAAAAGTAAGCCCTGATAAGGTTTGTAGATTATCTCAATTTACGATGGAAAATATATAGAAAAGAAATATTTGTCAAATAGAGTCCATACTGTAATAGTTCGGTCTGGCAGACCGCTCGAGCAGTCATTAACTCGCTCGAGTGTAGATGCATAGCTCTCAGTAATTTGCCAGTTTGCAAGCGAGACCGTTCAAGTGATGAAGTGGTAGCTAGAACGTAGAAATTAGGCTCCCAGTATTTTCACTATAACTTTGCAAAACTTCTAGAACCTTGCGTTTACCACTCGAGCAGTGAAAAGTTCGCTCAAGCAGTATGCTCGGGACAACTCACTTAAAAGTCGATCAAATCCATTTCTCTTTTAATTTTTCCACCCTCTTTTCTCTCTTTTTCTCTCTCACCCATTTTCAAAACCCTAGCCCTAAAACACTTGATTTCTCTAGTTTTTACCTTAAATCCACCCTAGATCCTTCAAGGAGGTTGAAAGGAAAGCTTGGATCAAGAGTTCTACTGATCGTTTTGCTATTTCATCAAAGTTGGAGTTGGGTTTTTACTTTTGTCTTCATTCTTAAGGTAGGGATACTTTTAACTTGTTATATATTTGATTTGAGACACATATGTAGTATTTTCAATAAATAAATATATATATATATATATAATGTGTTGTGTTAGTAAATGGGATTGATGAAAAGATGGCTATGCCTCATGATTATGGAAGAGTTTAGGTACATTATGGATAATTATTGTTGTTCATGATAAGAATTGGCCTTTAAACCATGAAAGAGGAGAAACCCTTAATTTTTCCAAAGCCCTAATTTTCAAATTTGTTCAATAAAAAGGGGTTTTGCTCAGTTTGTCTCTAAAACTTGAAATTTGGTGTATTGACTTAACTTTGATGTTGTAATATGAGATTTTGAAACTTTTTAACACAAAACCTTGAAATGGTGATGGTTATGAATCGGAGAATCTATTCATTGTTGATATGTAAATTATTGGATTGTTGTGAATTGAAATTACCATAGGGAAATTGAGATTTGGAAATTCATGCACCATATACCTTTATAATTATATTTTGTAACATAAAACATTGATGTATGGAAGATGTTGGAATGGGGTAAATAGCGTATGAGTCCGGGTAGTGAGTCGGGCTTTGGTTTGAGCCGTGTAATGTATTTTGGTACTCGCGTGGGGAGTGAAGGTGCCTAATTGCCTTGTCTTGTGTATATCGCTGGACGAATGTGGAAAAGGTTTTTGGGTGTCCATGAGCCTACCGTTTTTGGAGTCAGCAAATGTGGAAGGGGAAGGTTTTGGTTATCCATCGCTCCATCATTTTTAGAGCCGACAAATGTGGGACTATTTTCTGTATATTAATCTGTATATGTATGTAAGGTTTGTGGCTCTTGCTTGGGACGTCATAGCATATTTACCACTCCACTTTTGTTGATGAAACTTGGAAATAGAAATCATGCATGGAACAAATTTTCGATTTTAAAAGGAGAAAACATGGACTGTATTCCAATAAGTGAATAGCATGATCATATGTATTTCGATTAATTATATAACTTCTTAAATGTATTCCTATTGGGCATTAGCTCACTCCAAAACTAACCATTTTTCAGGAAAAGATGTTGATGCGCTACCTCAATGATTTGCCTGGGAAAAGGATTTTGGATGGGAACATGGATGCTCTCCTTTGATGTTTATATGTTAAGCCTCGGGCTATTTTTGTATGAAAATGTAAAATTCAAATTTTGTGTATTTAAGGACACTCCTTGAGAAAATGTTTGCCTTTTTGGCTCTTTTCTTTTGTATCACTTCTTGTCTCTTGAAATATTTTATTTTATCAATGGATGTAAACGTACAATGATAATCACTGGAATAGTTCAATGGGAAAGAGGTAGTCTTGAAGTTTGTTTAATTATTATGGATTTGTTACTCTCTTCTATACATCTATATCGAGTTAAACCCAAGTAAGCATGATTCAGGAGGACATTTTTCCTAGGGCGTTACACATATAAAATAGATAAAGTTAATATAATTTAAATTAAATTTGAATTTGTGTAGAACTTTATATATAATTAATAAAATATATACTGACGTGGTTCTTTTAGAGAGAAAAAAAAATATGCCTTTATAATGTGCCACATAAATATGAAAAAAAAATACTATTTTTTTTAATAATATATATATATATATGATCATAATATAAAAGATATGAGATGTATAATCTAGTAAAAGAGTCCACATTACTATTGTCATATAGTCATTTTTAATCCTTTGATTAAACAAGTCATTTAATCTGATAGTTAGCTACAACCTCATCATTTTAATGCCTTTAAATAGTTTTAACCCTACTAAGTTAAATTGTTGCATCAGCCAAGGATTGTCATGAATTGTAATCTTCATGATTAGTAGTTTTTGGTAATAATGTCATTTGCTTCTTGACCGGTATAAGATGACACTGATGGAAACGAAATGAATTTTTTTTTTTAATTAGCAAAAGGTGAAAATTTATTGATGAAACAGAAATAAATACTTTTAGATCAATAAGTCAAGGTGACAAAATGCTTCATTGCCGACTAATATCCCAACTAAGTTGTCATATACAAAGCTAGCAAATCATGTGCACATCCAGACATAAAAATAAAAAAATCCCAAGAAGGTTAGCAAGGCACCGACCAACGACCAACGACCACCAAACAAAATAAACCAGAAAAACAAACACCATCTAAATAAGTCTAAACAATCCAGCCAACAAAACTCAACAAGGCCAACAACAACCAACCAAGTAAAAGAAGTCATCAATGCAAAGGAGGAAGCTGCCACCCACCACCCACCCATTCTGATTTGCTCAACCACCAAAAACTGAAGGCAACCCTCGAAACATGAACAGAAGTTGATCAACCCGTATTGTTACTACTCCTAACAAGAATTTACAACCCATAGCAAAAAAATCGAAAAAACGCTTACAAAACCAACCGTCTATTTGCAAAAACAGAGCATGCATGAACCTCTATTTGCTCAATTTGATTTGCTGAAAATTGAGTACAAAGTCATTCACCGTATAATCCTTGAAAATATTATTGGCCTTGGATTAACATGCTACTCTCAACTTAATCGCTTCAGTAATGGAATCCCAACTGCGTTGAATTCTTTCAAAAACTAATTGATTTCTAGCAAACCATAAAATTGCTAAAGGAATTACCTTCCAAACAGCTCTATGCCACTACAAAATTCTCATTCTAAGATCTCATCCTTTAAGCATTCGCCATGTATGAAAGCAGTGGGTCCATCTGTAAAAGGTGTCCTCCTTGAATACAACTTTAATACCACTTCCTGTGGAGAAGACTTCACCAAATCCTTGAAAATATTGTCCTTCAGACTTTTTTGGTTTCAAAACACTTGCAAGTCAATTTGCTGAAGCCTTCTTCTAGTAGTGTTTGTTACATTCTCTCATCTTTCAATTTGATTTTATGGTTGCACTCAAAAATCAGAAGTTGGCCAAAAATTCAATTAGTATGATTATCTGAGTTTGTACTAATTTTTAGATACTCAATTATCAATCAATTTTCCCAAGAACATTAAAAATAGTTGGGGAAAAAAAAAAGAAAAAGAAGAACTACTTAAAAAGCATAAATAAAATAGCCAATTAACTGTAGAACTACAAGGCATACTAAACCAATTAAAAAGAGCAAGCTCCAAAAAACAAGAAAAAAAAGGCAAACAGAGCACATATTACAATTCTATACCTGACTCACTGCATGTAGAAAATAGCTATGAATAAACCAAATGAAATAGCTACCGATCCACAAGCCAACTATAATAATCTAACTTAACAACGAAACAGCAAGTCAATAACTAACCATACAGCCAATACATTGTTTTTTCTTGGGAATTGGGAAGAACTTGCATCAGGTGATAAAAGGAAAGGAAAAAAAAAAAATCATACTTAAACTTCTTCAAGATGGAAAGACATTTCTTGATTACCAGTGCACAAACATTCACCAAAAACATGCATGGTGTATGTGTGGCTCCCTCTACATAAAATTCCTCCTTGACATCAAAATAGCAATCAACCTCTGTGCCAAAAATGAGGAGGAAAAAAAAAAGAAGAAAAAGAAAAAAGAAAAAAAAGGGGGACAGTGAGTAGAGCACAAAGAGAAGGATGCAATCACTAAAAAAAGAACAACATATATACATATGAAAAAGAATACGACAAAGTAGCTAAATTTCAATACCCAAAATAATCATGCATAGATTAAAAAATAAAATTTGAAATATAACAAATTAAAATATGTAAACAACGAGACATCTAAATTAGTTAATGAGTCCAATTTATATGACAAACTAGCATAACAAAACAATTTCCTGTATAGGATGAACAAATTAAACTACTATCTTAATTTAAATCATCACAATTTCTAGGTTCAGACAAAGAAAAACTGTTATCTACTCATTAATCTTCAAAACATATTTTAGATCAAAAAAGTAATAAGAAAAATGATTCCCTAGAAGGGGGACAAGACTGTTCAAAAAAAAGAGAGAGAAGGGGGACAAGAGTTCAATTACATAATTGAAAATTCAGATATTACTAGCGGTATTATTTGGGATTAGATATCAAACTAAACAACAAATAAACAAACAAAACAAGAATCAAGATGCGCGCTTACAATAGGGGGAGACCATAGGCAGGCAATCTAGGAAGGAAGTAGGTTGATGGAACCCATAAGAATGGCAGCACAAGACAGATACACCGATTGTTGTAGAAATTCGAACTACAGTGCAATGAAGAAGAAGACTCTCATTGTCGAGCCACACAATGCAAAACACATCATCAGCAAGATGTGTTAGGGTCATGTTCATTGCATGGGTATAGTCAGAAGTTTCACTTAGATATTGGCAAATCTTGAAATCTGCAATGGGCACGGATAACTTGTTTCCATGTACAAAATCACAAATATGAAGTTGTGGAAAATCATATTCAATCCAGTAAATTTGAGTGCCCACGACAATCGGCTTGCTTATAGAATTCATAAAGTGGACATCAAGAGCTATTTTTTCCCAATATTGGTTTGCAACATCAAACATAAAAAGAGAACTCGATGCTCTGGCGCCAACCAAAATCTTTCCATCAGGAGCAGCTGTCGCAAATAAATTATTATAGCCAAGAGAAGATGGAGCATCATGTTTCAAAGGACTCCACTTACGCTTCCCTTTTCTTTTTCTGTTGCCTCCTCCTCCTCCTTCTTCTTCTTCTTCTTCTTCTAAATTGGCGTTTAAAAATTCGCAACAAAGACCGGGAATGTTACTTTCGTTGCCACCGAAGACAAAAATTTTCCCATCAACCACCACCACAGCAGCATCTTCTCGGCCACAGATAGTGCGAGGACCTTTCTTCCAACCCTTCTCTGGATGATTAATATCAAAATAAATTACAAGGCGAGAGTTGTGAAAGCCACGACCGTCTTCATCAGTGTGACTCCCCCCAAACCTATATATTCTAGACCCTACCATGGCTGAGCAGGTACCATATTCACGGTCGGCTTTACCATTCTCCAACTGAGCGATGAGAGGTAGAGTCGCTGGATTTTCTCCTCTATGCCGCTCATCGTGATTGACAGCAAGACGAGCTGCTCGCAGTGCAGGAGTCGGAAAGTTTTGAACAAATCTTTTTCCGCTCATCTCCTTTCTCTCTTTCTCATTATTATTATTGCTAGATAGATTGAGCATGTACCATTCTTTGATGTTGTAAGAATCGTCAAACTCAGCGGCGGATAAACAGAAATATTTGTCATATATAGGAGGCTGTGGATTTTCTGTACATCTCACGATAACCGGTCCTCCTCTGTTCCTTCTCCCCATATCTATCGACTGTTAAAAGAAACGATTAAAAGAAAGGGAAGCTGTTACGGCTGTCGGAGCTTATCAGCGACGAGAATCTATGGCCACTGGTGAGGGCTTTGGGGAAGCAAATCGCTATGGTTGACGTAGGGAAAACTTATCACAGTGGTGGATATAAGGAAGAAGATTTACACAGAGAGAGAGAGAGAGAGAGAGAGAGAGAGTTGCACCAAGAGGTTTTAGGTTGGGGTTGGGGTTTCTTTCCAAAAAAAAAAATCAAAATAATAAAATAAATCTTGAATTTTTAATTTTATCAATTTAAATTACAATATTTTGATTTTTTTTCTTAATTTAAATTATTCATCTATTTGTATTAAGTAAAATCGATGAAAAAAATATTTTAATCTTTAAACTCAATATAGATATTCATAAAATGTATAATATATATTTTTATTAAATTTAATGACTAAAACACATATTTTTTTTTATCAATTTTATTTAATGAAAATAAACAAATAGTTTAGATTAAAAATAAATCAAAAGTTTAGTGTTTAAATTGATAAAATTAAAAATTTAGGATTTATTTTATCATAAAAAGTCTCAAATTGAGAATTTTTTTTTTTTTGTAATTTTCAAAAAAAAAAAAGTTTGGGTTGGGGTTCGGGTACGGATGGATTTGGGTTTTGGGTTTCAGTAGATTAGGGATTTGGTAAAGCGTAACTTATTAGGTAAAAATAGTTTAAATAAATTAGATCCCAAAGGCGGGTTTGGGTTTGGGTTTGGGTTTCTTTTCCACCCCCTCCAAAAAGTCAAAATAACAAAATTAATCTTGAATCTTTAATTTTGTTAACTTAAATTATAATATTTTGTTTTTTTTTTCTTAATTTAAAATATTCATCTATTTGTAATAAGTAAAATTGATGAAAAAAAAAATATTTTAATTATTAAACTCGACATAGATATTTATAAAATGTCTAATATATATATTTTTATTAAATTTAATGACTACAACATATATATTTTGTTTTCAATTTTATTTAATGAAAATAAACAAATAGTTTAAATTAAAAATAAATCAAAAATTTAGAGTTTAAATTGACAAAATTAAAATTTTAGGATTTATTTTATCACAAGACTCAAATCCAAATTTTTTATTTTTTTTTTGTAATATTCCCAAAAAAAAAAAAAATTTGGGTTGGGGTTCAGTATGGGTGGACTTGAGTTTTGGGTTTCGGTAGATTTGGGATTTAAATTGTAATTTATTAGGTAAAAATAGTTTAAATAAATAAAAAATAACTAATTATTTGAAAGATGTCAGAAAGTATTTTTTGACTTATACTTTTTGAATTATCAATTTTTAACTTACAATACATTATACATTCTCCAGTCCATAATCTAAATTTGAGGTTGTTATTTATGCTTGTGGTGTTTATCATGTGTCCCGTTTTGATAATTTAAATTATTCATTTTATAATGTTACAATTATTGAATTGATCTAATTATTATTTTTATTTTTTATTGAGTAATTAATGTAGAAAAAGAATTATATATTTTTTTATGTTTTTATTTGGGACAATTATAAATAATTATAATAAAAAACTCTAAAGTTTCTTTTAACAAAATAAATCATGAGTTTTTAATTTTGTCAATTTAAACGCTAATATTTTGATTTATTTTTAATTTAAACCATTCACCTTTTTTCATTAAGTAAAAACCGATTGAAAAATAATATTTTAGTCCTTTTTATTTTTTATAATTTTAGAATTAAATTTGCATAGAATTTTAAATAGTTTAGATTTTTAATTTCATATTCTCTTTAGTTTCCTAGTTTATATTGATTTAAGTTTCCTAATTTATTTAGAATTATTTTTCTACAAGCTTATGTTTTTCATTCATTCAATTAATAATATACATACGGATGGTAGAGACGAGAAAAATTAAAATTTTTCTTAATGGAATGGAGGTATAATAAATTCATATTATTTATAATAAAGTTCTTAGATTATTTATAATAAAGTTTTTAGAGATTGTCTATCTTTCTAGTTTAGACCTCTGTCAATTATTTTTCAACACATTTAGTTGTCTCAGTTTGCATGTACCAATCCTCAAGCTGCCATAGTGTCAAGAGATGGGAAAAATTATTTGGTACTCTTGGGTACTGCCACGTGCCTCTTCCACGAATCACAACACTGTTGGGATACCACATAGCAATATCCTATGATCAACCAATAACTTCTTGAGAAAAATACCATCTGGCCCGATACATGAGGTTTATATGAGAACGCACTGTAGGTCAATGAAATTAGGAAAAGGGATGTTGTTGTCCAAGTCACAACAGGCTGCTGTGAGTTTGGTGGATGCCCATTCCGATTTTTTATTTTTTTTATTTTATGATTTGAACGGTTCATATTATAAAATTTATTAAGTAAATTATTCATATAAAAAATCAAATTGATTGAAAATCTAAATCTCTATGATAAGAGCACATTTGTTTTTTAAAAAATAAACGGGTAACATTATTTTTATAATTTTTAAAAATAATTAGGACCCGATCATAGGCCTACAAATGTTTGATTAATTTGATTTTTTTACATAAATGATATGCTCAACGAACCCTATAATATAAACTATTTGAATTATCAAAAAAAAAAAAACTCGGAATGGGCATCTACGAAAACTCAGAATAAGATGCTGTGACTGGGAGTTACAACAGTATCCCATGTCCATAAAATTAGATTCCTAAACCTAATTAAGGAATGCAATGCTGCGATCATCTTGATTTGCGTACACACAGGTCTGTCTGATTCAGTTGGAGAGCTAAGAGATGGACTCTCTAAGACAAAAATATTATATCTCAACGTGAATATAGTGTAACTAGTTACTCTAGAGTGATTATGATGAATTGAAAAATTAATGGACAATTTGTCTAGATTCTACTTAGGATTTGAGAGATGGACTTCCTCAAGTCGTTAATTATTATTGATATATTTAATTTATTTATTTGAAATTATCATACAAAATTTGTGAGATTCACACTTAATGCATGAGGACATTATTAATTTTATACCGAAAAGTAGTAGAATTTCGGAAGAAAAACCCAAAATCCTAAATATACATGGCTTAAAAGTCATTTTTTAGCTTTAAACTCATTTTAAATTACATCATTTTTCAGAAAATTCTGCACTCTTATTTTTCGTGTTTTTTTGTTTTTACTGAATTTTTTTAATATTTTATGCAATTTTTTTTTACTTTTTAAACACACCTAACATAAATACACCTAAAAAGTAAAAAAATTGTAAAAAAAATCTTTTAAAAATTCACTAAATACCAAAAATATAAAAAAAAATACAAGAATTTAGTACATTTTTTGTATTTTTATGTATTTCTTAATTTTTTAAAATATTTTTTCACAATTTTTTTACTTTTTAGACACATCTAAGTAAGGTACATCTAAAAAAGTAAAAAAAAATGTTTAAAATTTTAAAAATATTCACTAAAAACAAAAAAACACGAAAATTAAAAAACTCAATTTTTAAAAAATTTAATCCAAAAAACTCAAACCAAACACAGTAAAAGATTTTGTTTTTTGAGGTCTCAAGGCTGATTAGACCCTTCCCCACGTGACCTCGTACTTTCTTTCCCATTTTAGAACCTAATTTTCTTTACAACTTTCTTTCTCTTTTGTCCCCCTTTCACTAAAAGAGTTAGGAAATGTGCTAACCCATATTATAGATAGCCTATGTTTGGGGAGTGGGTTTTGGGATTTTTTTGGTTAAAATAGTTACAAAAAATAAAATAGATTTTTTTGTTTAATAAGACAAAATATCGCATCCAACCCATAATCATTACATTCTTTCTCTTACAAAAAAGTCAAAAAAACTAAAAAAATCAAAAGTCATTCCCAAACTAGACTTTTTAGCCCCAGACTAAAATAATCAAAAAAGTCAAAAAGTCAACCTACTTCCCAAACGAAGCCATAATAAGTGGTGCTACATATACCAATTGGTATATCAATTAATTTATTAATATATATTATGATAATGTCACTTCCAAATTATATACTCTATTCTTTATATAATTTAGAAAGGTTCAAAACTTTTAAAATTATGCTATATTATCCGTTAGTACAATTAATTAATATATACTAATTACTGCGTATAATTTTATTCATATAATGGGTTGATGTGTACATATTTTTGATTATTTCAAATTGAAAAGCTAAGATTGATTTCCTTAAGGTTAGATTGAATGTGAGTGCTTGGATGAGATGATTAATTAGTGGCTTATGGGACTTTAACCAAAACGCTAAATAAAAAAGTGCGATTTTTTTTTTTGAGGTCCCAACCTTTTTCGTGTGACATTGTACTTTCTTTCCCATTTTAGAACCTAATTTTCTCCCAATCCTTTCTTTCTTTTGTCCCGCTTAATCCTCTCTTAATGAATTTTCTCCCAATCCTTTCTTTCCCGTGTGACGCACAGTATAGATAATGGGCTGATGTGTATGTATTTTATTATTTTTTAATGATTTTCTAAAAAATTAATTTTTTTCTTGAGTAGAATTCATTGAGTAGAATATTTATAAAAATAAAAAAAATATGTAGAATAAAAATAAAATATTAAAATAAAAATAAATTCCATAGATCCCGTTTCGATGATATTCATTGAGTAGAATATTTATACAAAAAATCAAAACGATCGAACATATGTAGCTATATATTTGAATGAAATTTATATTATAAAAGTGGATGGGTATTCTTGAAATAATATTTGTCGTCTATTTTTTTAAAACAAATATGATTCAAATATATAACTACCGATATCCAATCATTTTGATCTTTTGCATGAATATTCTACTCAATGAATTTTAAAAAAAATGAACAATTCGAATCATCGGAATCGATTCCAAAATTGGTCTATCAAGTTCGAACACTCTTCAAGTTAAGATGGCAACTTGACAGAAACCACAAATATATGTTGAAATAGAGAGAATTTGAGAAAATGATATTTTAGTGATTTTTGTAATGTTTTAT